CGTGCTGCCGGGCACTGGCCGAGGCCTGCTGGGCACTGCTGGCGCGCTGGCGTGCGCTGGGACTGGCCAGCGTGCGCGGGGCGTTGCTGGATGGCGGTACATGCGTTGCGAGGCGCGCTGCGGGCGTACATAGGGGCTAACTGCGTGCTGCTGGGCGTGATTGGCGTGCACTGTGCACGTTTTCGCACACAATTGCCAACAGCACGCTGCTACGAATTGCGGCACAGCCACGCACGTCGCACTGTTGGGCGTGTGCGTGCGGCTGCATGCCTGCAGGCCACTGCCGACTTGCTACACCACTACGTGCGGTAAGCACTACGGTCGGCCCTTTGTCGGACGTCTGGCTACTTTCTCCGGCAAACATGACTTAGCTGATATGACTTAAAATGACTAAAAATGTATAAAGTGCTCGGGACTTGAGTGCTAGATTTTGAAATAACTCGGAGAGGGCTTATGTAGCACCTCCGAGTACATTTTGCACAAATCTTAAACCAAACGACTTGACTATTACATAATCTTGCTATCACGAACATAAAATGACATATATTGACCAAAACACATAAATTTCTCGGGGGTTGTCGGTTAGAAATGAACACGGCTCGGAATGGTCTAAGATGGTACTTCGGAGTGCATTTGGCCTTAAACACGAATTAATTCAAATGATTTCTACATGATCATTCCTACATAAACATGAAATAACTAAAAGAGGGTGACTAGGAGTATACCCTTCAAATCGCTCGCGAAACGTACGTTGGCTTGCGTGTGCTTGCTCGTGAACTTGGTATGTGCGCTTGCTTTCCTTCGGTTATGGCCGTGTATATGCTCCTTTCTCTTTAATATTTTTCTAACTTTTTCTCTCAATTATAAGCTGATTTAGGCTTGGTTATGCATGGGAATTTGCATGAGAAAATAGGGAAAGGCTCACGGCTTTATAGGTTAAAAGGATAAATTATGGTGAATGTAAAAATTGAGGCTAAAAATATTGTGGAGCCACTTGCTTGAACCGTGGCCTAGGGTGGCATTCTCCTTGCCTAATCACCTACTTAGGTGGCGTCCATATGCTTAGTATTTACTAGGATTTTACTAGAGCTTGCCATGTAGTTTAAGCACATAGGTGCCAAGGCGAATGCAAGTTGCAATATTTTTTCAATTTGGAGAAAAATCTCACGGAAATTGCTAGAGAATTTGAACTTGGATTACTTAATTTGATCTAGGTGCTTAGCTTATTATAAGCTAATGATGGGCGGTGCTTGCACGGCGTGCGTGCACTACTTGAACTTAGTATACTATGGCTTGATTAATTATCATATCATTCTTGACTTAACATGAACTTACTTTCGAAATTTAATTCGATCATTCTCGACTTCCAATAATTAATCCCGACTAATCATGTCCGATTACAAAATAAACATTTCGGGAATTAATTATTGAAATGAACTCAGTTAATAATTAAATCGAATTGATTTTTCGACTCAAAGTCGAACTTATTGGCTTGAACACTGAAAATGAGCAATATTAATAAATTAAATACATCACTTTTATTAATAAGAAATTGGGTTATTACAATCTACCCTCCTTAAAGTATTTCCGTCCTTGGAAATACAAAACTGTACATATATACAGAATACAAGAAAAGTATATACATCAAAACTCAAAGTCGGGAAAACAAGCTCTAATGTCTGCTTCGCGCTCCCAAGTGGCATCAGAATCTCCATGGCGATTCCATCTGATACGTATGAGGGGAATATCTCGTCTACCAGTCGTCGAACCTGTCGGTCCAAAACTGCTACCGGACGTTCCTCATACGACAAATCTGGCTGAAGCTGGATATCAGTATGGTAGAGAATATGATCGGGATCGCACACGTACTTCCGAAGCATGGATACATGAAAAACATTATGAACACTGGATTGCTCGGGAGGCAAAGCTAAACGATAGACTACTTCTCCCACTCGCTAGAGAACTTCAAACGGGCCGATAAAACGGGGATGTAACTTCCATCTTTCCTGAATCGAATGATCCCTCGGAATGAACGAACTCTCAGAAAGGCTCGTTCTTCGACCTCAAACTGGATATCTCGTCTATGCTTGTCAGCTGATGACTTCTGCCGACTCTGTGATGTCTTAAGTCTCTGTCTGATCAATTCAACTTGCTCAACTGTCTCCTCGATCATCTTTGGACCGAGTACCTGACGTTCGCCAACGTCATCCCAATAAAGGGGCGAGCGACATTTACGCCCGTAAAGTGCCTCAAAAGGAGCCATCTGGATCGACGCATGATAACTGTTGTTATAGGCGAACTTGACTAGCGGAAAAATCGACTCCCACTTAGCACCTCTGTCTAGAACCAACGCTCGGAGCATATCCTCAAGCGTCTGAATCGTCTTCTCTGACTGACCGTCTGTCTCTAAATGGTAAGCCGAACTAAACTGTAACTGTGTGCCCATCGCCTCGTGTAAACTCTCCCAGAACCTGCTGGTGAATCTGAGATCTCTGTCAGACACAATGTGAACGGGCACTCCGTGGAGTCGAACAATCCCATGGGTATAAATCTCGGCCAACTTCTCCATTGACATGGTCATCGATACAGGTAGGAAATGTGCGACTTTCGTCAACCTGTCCACTACTACCCAAATCGCGTCGTGATGCTCGGACGACCTGGGCAGCCCTATAACAAAATCCATCGTGACTTCCTCCCACTTCCAACTCGGGATCTCGAGTGGTTGCAGGAGGCATATCAGACTCTTGTGCTTGGCCTTGACTTGTTGGTAGACCAAACAATTCTTCACGAAACTAGTAACATCCTTCTTCATTTCCCGCCACCAGAATGACCTTTTCAGGTCGTGGTACATCTTGGTGCTGTCGGGGTGAGCTAAATAAAGCGCAGTGTGTGCCTCTGTCAAGATCTCCTTCTGTAAGGCCTCGACCTTCGGCACTACAATCCTGCCTCTGAACTCCAAGGCGCCATCTGCGCCTCGGGAAAAACCCTCGACTCCTCCGACGCGAACCTTGGCCTCAATAGCACGAATAAACTGATCAGAAGCCTGCTCCCACCAGATTCTATCTCTCAACATGGGTTGAATCTGCATCGAGTTAACACTCCCCGTAATCTCTGGAGTAGATGACTCGACGACCTGAATCTGCATCCAAGCAAAGTCTCGAACAAGATGGCGTTGTTGAGTAATAGAACATGATTATTCACCCTTTACCTTTCGGCTCAGGGCATCAGCTACAACATTCGCCTTCCCCAGATGATACTGAATCGTGCAGTCATAATCTTTAACAGGCTCTAACCAACGTCGCTAACGCATGTTGAGCTCCTTTTGCGTGAAAATATACTGCAGACTCTTGTGATCGGTATAATCTCGCATCGACCACCATATAGATAATGCTGCCATATCTTAAGTGCATGTACCACTGCAGCTAATTCCAGGTCGTGTGTAGGATAATTCTGCTCATGAGGCTTCAACTGACGTGAAGCATACGCTACAACCTGGTTGTCTTACATAAGTACACACCCCAAACCCTGTCTCGAAGCATCACTATAGATGGTAAAACTCCGAGAAGGATTTATAATAGTCAACACCGGTGCCATCATAAGCCTCTTTTTCAGCTCCTGAAAGCTCGACTCACAACGGTCTGTCCATTCGAACTTCACAGACTTCCTCGTCAACTGGGAAAAAGGGAGGGAAATCTTCGAAAACCCCTCAATAAATCAGCAATAATAACCTGCAAGGTCGAGGAAACTACGAACCTCGGACGGATCCTTTGGTGCTGACCAGTTCTGAACTGCGGCAATCTTGGATGGATCAACCTCGATACATGCCTGAGTAATAATGTGGCTAAGAAAAGCCACTCGCTGAAGCCAAAATTCGTATTTAGAGAACTTAGCATATAACTTTTCACGTCTAAGGGTCTCAAGGACGGCCCAGAGATGCTCTTCATGCTCCTTCTGTCTCTTGGAATAGATAAGAATATCATCAATGAATACGATAACAAACTGATCAAGAAAAGGATGGAATACACGGTTCATCAAGTCCATGAATACTGTCGGGGCATTGATGAGACCGAACGGCATAACCACGAACTCGTAATGACCGTATCTGGTTCGGAATGTTGTCTTAGCGATGTCTGACTCCTTGATCTTCAGCTGATGGTAACCTGAACGTAAAACAATTTTAGAAAATACACAGGCGTCTCTCAGCTGGTCGAACAAGTCGTCAATTCTGGGAAGCGGATATTTATTCTTGATCGTCAACCGGTTAAAATCCTGGTAATCAATACACATGTGCATAGAACTTTTCTTCTTCTTGACAAATAGAACGGGTGCTCCCCATGGTGAAATGCTCGGTCGAATAAAACCGAGATTCAACAACTCCTGGATTTGAGTCTTTAATTCCTGTAACTCCTTAGGTGCCATTCAGTACGGCGCCTTAGATACTGGTCCGGCTCCCGGAATAAGATCAATAGAAAACTACACTTGACGGCTGGGTGGACCACCTGGAAGTTGGTCTGGAAACACGTCCACAAACTCACGAACGATAGGAATGTCATGAGGTGTCCGTGGTTTCGGTTCGTCTCCGACAAGGCTCACTAGGTATCTCTGACAATCACCTCGTCGTAAGATCTTTTTGGCTATCGCCCTTGAAATAATATGAGACAGAGTACGAGTTCTGGAACCGAAATAAGTGATCTGATCATCTCCCGAAAGAAAAAGAGTAATCTCCCGGTCATGACAGCGGATATCTGCATGAAAATGGGTTAGCCAGTCCAAATCGAGAATGAGGTCAAAGTCCCTCATCTCGATGACATAAGCGTCGGTAGTCAGGAAACGGCCGCCGATTGAAAGGCTGAGACTCTCGGATTTAGCATCAGTCACAATATTTCTCCCCGAGGCTAAACTTACCTCGAGGGGATCGACAGCGCTGACCGAACAAACCCCAATGGCATCAAGACATCGGCGTGATATAAATGAATGAGTTGTTCCAGTGTCAATAAAAGCAAAAACAGGAACATCGTTGATAATAATCATCCCAGACATGGTACCTGGGTGCAGGTCTGCTTCGGCCTGATCGACTGCATAAACACGGGCCTGCTTGATACAGAAGTGGCTAGGCAGCTCAAGAACACCGCAAGTCGCGCGTATCACGCATGCAAGAGGATGGTGCGGGCTACTAGCGAGACGCATGTCCTGGAACAGACTGTGCGCACAGAGCGCGAGAGTGGCCAAACAACGGGCAAGGACGGATGCGGGCAGCTGGTGTGCGAGACGGGCAAGCAG